TACTCGAAATTGATACCTTTCAAGCAAACGATAGCGTAAATTGCATGACGTGTTCCGATCACACAAGTGAACACTTACTTCTTTCCGACTTCATATCGTCATGTGACTAACATTTCCTACTGGTCAGAATCAGTATTTGGATGTTTACTTGACAAATGTTTTTTTTCTTCGTACTTCTTGTACTGCCTGCAAAACTCAGTGATATACCGCTCTTTTCACTATCCAGATCAATATACGCCCATATATTTGAATTTTTTATCTTTCTCCATGTCTATCAATTGTCAAGATAGTTACCTAATCATTTTAAGAAGTGAAATCTCAAACGATGTGTAATATCTACTCTCATCTGCAGACTTGTAACAACTAATGCCATACAGCCACACCGTGTGAGCAGTAAACTATTTAATCTAGCTGTTAATAATTATCAGATGGGTTAAAGAATTCAGGGTACATAGAACTCAGTATGTCAGTGTCAATGGCTATCAATCTTCTTTTCTCTCAACCTCTACTGGAGCTCCACGGGACTGTGTTCCTTCATTCGTTCTCTTCGTTTTGTATACTGTGGAATTTGCAGATGACGCCACTGTTACTGGCCTTTAACCACTAGACTACACAATTGCATCTGAAACAAACAGGGGCAGTGGCGTAGCTTAGTGGTTAAAGCGTTTGCTGGTCACGCCGAAGACCTGGGTTCGATTCCCCACATGGGTACAATGTGTGAGGCCCATTTCTGGTGTCCCCCACCATGATATTGCTGGAATATTGCTTAAAGCGGCATAACTCACTCACTCACTCACTCACTCGCTCACTCACTCACTCACTGAAACAAACAAGATATGACCATCAGTCATTGGCGTCTTCAGTACAAACACAGAGTGACAGAGTACAAATCAATATAGTGAATTGTCTAGATATTTAACATGTGTAACATGATTTTGTTTTACATCTCGGCTAATGTCTAGAATGCAGTAACCCTTATCAAACATGTTTTGAGGAAGAGTCTTTTGTCATTCACATGAAGCTGTTCCACAGTGACCCCATTAGAGATGAGGTGAAATTGGGTTTAACGACGTGCTTGAGAATATTTCGCTCATATGACGACGTGCATGCGTGTGTATGTGTTAGGGCTTCAACGAGTCCATTTTTTTGGACTCGAGTACTCGAGGGATGAGACTCGACTCGGACCCGAGTACTCGAAATTGATACCTTTCAAGCAAACGATAGCGTAAATTGCATGACGTGTTCCGATCACACAAGTGAACACTTACTTCTTTCCGACTTCATATCGTCATGTGACTAACATTTCCTACTGGTCAGAATCAGTATTTGGATGTTTACTTGACAAATGTTTTTTTTCTTCGTACTTCTTGTACTGCCTGCAAAACTCAGTGATATACCGCTCTTTTCACTATCCAGATCAATATACGCCCATATATTTGAATTTTTTATCTTTCTCCATGTCTATCAATTGTCAAGATAGTTACCTAATCATTTTAAGAAGTGAAATCTCAAACGATGTGTAATATCTACTCTCATCTGCAGACTTGTAACAACTAATGCCATACAGCCACACCGTGTGAGCAGTAAACTATTTAATCTAGCTGTTAATAATTATCAGATGGGTTAAAGAATTCAGGGTACATAGAACTCAGTATGTCAGTGTCAATGGCTATCAATCTTCTTTTCTCTCAACCTCTACTGGAGCTCCACGGGACTGTGTTCCTTCATTCGTTCTCTTCGTTTTGTATACTGTGGAATTTGCAGATGACGCCACTGTTACTGGCCTAATTTCTGATTCTGAACATTATTATCGTCAAGGCATAGACAAAACCCTAATGACAGTTTTTTATCAAACCTTTATTCAAAGTGTGTTTACCTACAATTTTCTATGTTGATATGGGGATCTGTCTCATCGCAACAAAAACAAACTTTTCAAAATTGTTACTACTGCTTGCAAAATTTCTGGAGTGTCTTTCGAGTATATTCCCTTTATCTATGAGCGCCAGATTGTCAAAAAGGCAGCTACAATTAGATTTGATAGTTGATATATTTGATCTCACCATTTTGAACTACTTCCTTCTGGACGCTGCTGACGATTACCTTCCCTCAAAACAAACAGAGGTCGACAGTCTTTCATACCATCAAGTATTCGTGAATGCAACAAATATTTTGAATCACACCATCATGTGATTAGAACTAGAATTATTCAGCCTCTTTACCTATGTGGTTAATTGAATTATATCATGTCAGATTTATTTGTAAATAGCATTCGCTTTGAGCATGTAATTATTGTGTATATTTTGTGAACTGTGTATATATTCATTTTGAGACAGCTCCCTTTTCGAATCCTTGAAAATGGACTCGCCAGCTGCTGCTTGTACTAGCCCAGACTTAAGCTGGTTTTATAGTGCTAGCCCACTGAGATACCATGCCGCAGTGAAGCATGAATACCCCACTCAGACACATTATACTGACTCCGAGCCGACCAGTCCTTGTTGTACCCATTAATGCCTAGCGCCAGGCAGGGACCAACAAGTACCATATTTTAACGCCTTTTGGTATGACGCGGTCGGGGATCGAACCCGCAACCTTCCGCTCTCTGGGCGGACACTCTAACCACTACACCACGGAGGCGGTCAACCCCATTAGAGATGTCATTAGATGTCATTAGATGATATACAATCTGACCTGGACCACTAGGGTATTGATAGAGTAACATATCAAGAGTAAGTGAGTGAGTATGGTTTTACGCCACTTTTATCAATATTGCAGCAATATCACTTTGGCGGACACCGGAAATAAGCTTCACTCATTGTACCCATGTGGGGAATTGATCCTTCAGCGTAACGAATCAACGCTTTAACCACTAGGCTACCCCACTGCCCTGGCTATTGATAGAGATTGATAATAGTTTACTGAATATCAACCGATTATCAATAAATATCAGAGAAGTAACTTTCAGCAAAAAGGAAAAATAATCTGAACATTGGGGGATTACGCAATCGATTTGAGTGACCTTGACCTTATTTTCAAGGTCATGAACTGTTGTACCTAATGTCTTCAAATTTGGCGACAGCCTACATTGGGGGATTACCCAGACACCAGTTTATCTGGGTGACCTTGACCTTATCTTCAAGGTCACCACAGCACCTTGACCACTTTGACCACTGTGACCAAAAATCATCCTCGATAATCTCCAGGGTAAATGTTACGATCACTCTCCACTATATCCTGGATGCATCCGCGGCTTGGCCCGATGATTTTATTACCTCCCTTTGCTGGCTCCGCATTCTCACAGTAGCCAATCAGCTAAGCCGCCGTTACATCCGAGCTTGCCAGTGTCAACAAAGATAGCGGTCGCAGTCGCGAAGGTTTGTTCGCAGTGCCACTCAGATTTTTGAGGAAATAATATAGACAAATTGACAGATCTGAAACTTTCAAAAATATATAAAAGAACTCCTTCTACCTCTTTCAGAGTATCTTTGCATCAATTGTGTTGCCAAGTTTAAATGGTTAGATAAATTAAGAAGCGAAAGTGGGTTGTGATTGGTTTTCGCTCATCTTCCCAGCGTAGACACCTGATTGGATAAAAAGCCAGTTAAGGGAGGTAATAAAATCATTTGGCCAAGCCGTGGATGCATCCAGGGTATAGTGGAGAGTGATCGTAACGTATACCCTGGAGATTATCGAGGATGCCCAAAAATAAGAATTAGTAAATATAGATATTCCATTCTTTAGCGACGGGGGACATTGCCATATCAGTGGCAAACACTTGTTGGTTACATGCCTTATCCCACCGGGTACCCATTTTCTGCTGGCAATTTTGAACAAACACACTTGCCTAAGGTGAGACCACATGTGTCACATGTGCTTCTTTGTCGGGCAGGACTCAAGTCCTAGAAACTCTCAGGAGTCAAACTGCCAAACACGGTCATCCATCCAAGGTCATCCATCCAAGGACTCTCCACGCCCAGCCTTGCTTCACTTCCCCTGATTGTAACCTGAGCTGTATGCACAGGACCACATGTCACCACACTAGAGGCTTGCACAGTCATAATATGACTGTTACATGTACCCATTTCCTCCATACAGAACACAGAATTGTCCTTTAATTGTGAACTATTGGAAAATGTATGAATTTGCAGGTGGATTCAGACCAGTTGTTAGAAGTGTCAGCCATTAAACTTAGTCAGATGCGACTTTTTGACGGGAGGTTACTTTCAGAGTAAAATGATTTTGAACCAGGTATGAATTAATCTCATGTTATTAAAAGCAGTAGTTTCAGGCTGTTTCCTCTTTCCAGCTTTAGGAGTGGTGGGGTGGCCTAGTGGTTAAAGTGTTTGCTCATCACACCGAAGACCACATACAGAGTCATGCAAAAAGTATTCGGACACTTGACGTAATTTCCATAGACTTACATGTTAATTTAGTGTAGCATAAATAATTTTCATGAATTTAATTTTCATAAGATCCAAGTCAAATTTTGCACATTTGTGAGGAATCATCTTACCTACAATCACATAATTTCTGTTTAATTTTCCGTTGCTTACTTATCGAATGGTAACAAGTTAATCAACATGTGTACAGTGCCGTGAACTCCTCTAACATGGCGGCCTATGGGATAGTGGATTGTGGAACCACACGTAAGTTGATAAATGTGATGTCATTAGTTAAATAGTGGTCGGAAAATTGAACTTAAGTTATATACAGAGCAGAGATGATTTCAAATTTGCCTGTTAAATTTTACAAAGATCCATCCTAAACTCACTTCAAGAAAATTATTTATGCTACACTGAAATAACATGTTAGTCTATGGAAATTACGTCAGGTGTCCGAATACTTTTTGCACGGGTCTGTAGATACCTTGTGTGAAGGCCATTTCTAAGGTCCCTTGCCATGATATATCTGGAATATTGCTAAAAGTGGCATAAAACCAAACTCACTCACTCTCTTGATCTTTTCTAACATGTTTTAGTTAACCTTCACTGGACATCGTCTACAGTGTGCGACATAGTTTCCAAATTTGCTAGGCAGTTGGGCGAGCTATGTCTGAAAGTTACTAGCCCACAAAATAATTCACTAGCCCAAAATTTGAATGTAGAAACTAAGCAAAAGATTACAAAAATAGATGAGAATAAGATATTATCGACATGACACGGGTTTCATTATTAAGTTGCTAATATGATGAACATTTTTATCAGGCCAAAATCTTGCATGATTTAAAAGTGTACTATAACTTCACAAGTCGGAAAGTGATATATTTTCAAAATGACCCCATCAAATTTCACTGGCCAGTCAGGCCATTGACTGTGGGGATTTAATGGCCCGAGGGGATGTTTACTAGCCACGGGCTAGTGGGCCAGTGGCTATTTTGCACACTGATCATCTAGTATGTACTGGTTACTACTCAATGTCTTAGGATATTCCCATTTGATCGCTTACTGAACTGGAACTGCAATTTTGTTGATTTCAGAGATTGCTGGGTCGGTCAGCTTTGGTCATTCCTTCTCAGGAAGTTCAGTTCAAGGTATTGCTGGAGGAGGCAACAGTTCGGGGCAATCATGGGGACCAGCAAGACATAGTTATCCCTTCTCTGGTAGAGGCAGAAGGAGCTCCAGCATGCTAGATCGCCAATTCGCTTGTGATATTTGTGGCAAGGAGTTTACAGAGATCTGGGGAGTGAAGAGACATAAACAGGCCAATCACGAGGGCGCTTCTTTCCCTTGTGTGTGTGGGAAGATGTATCGATACATAGCCAGTTTGCAGAAACATCAGAAGAATTGTGATCCATACATTTTCTCATGCTTGAAACAGCAACCTGATGAGATGCACTAAATCAGGTCATTGTTCATTGGCCTACAGTGCTGGTAGCAATATAAATGCTCATCACATTTGCATGAAGAATTAAACCGTATTGGTGAGAGGTTTGGTCCCAGAGTTTGAGCTCCATTTGTTGTAGTAGTAACTACCTCAAGACTATGTTATCAAAGAAGGATGTATCTGTTTACAGTACAAGTCTGGCTGATGCTAAGTTCCCTGAGAGATTGACCAATAATCGTTCTCATGGCTGAAGTTATCAAAGTTTTGATGATCTTTCAAGGACATTGTGTTCAAAATTTGACTTCCATGTACTTATCTACAGAGTCTGCAAGATTTATCAGGTCATAGCACGTTTCCTGAAATTATTTAAATTGTTCAAGCATGAAATATCGATCAGTGTTGTGATTGTGTTCGTATTTTGAAAAGACATATCAAATGCATACATGTTTTGTGAATTAATATGAAGGTACTTTTAAGGATTGTATGAACAAACATGAAACAGCAACATTGTGGTGCAGAGATACCTGTAAAACCTGTAAAAATTAGAAAAAAACATGTTTGAAGTAACTGCACAATTTCAAGTCTGTTGGTGATACCGAGTCATCAGTTGACGGTTCTAGTTATTGACTCTTGTTGTTTTCAGATGATAGAGTTCATCTCCTGCCCACAGGTTCGACTTGTGGCAGCAGCAGACATTTGAATCTCGCATCTGGAACAGGCATCAACTTGGGATCATCTCCTTACCCTTCCTTCCAGATGTTCATCAACAGAGCCATGTCCACAGAAGGACTGACTGGACAGCCTGTCTCCACCTATGGGACAGCAGGACACCCAGTGTCCCATCATCAGTGGTCCAGATCAGGAGATGAGCATGGTTCTGGAGGTCCTTCTGGAGGTTCTTCTGAAGGTCCTTCTGGATTTAGTTTCAGGACTTCTGAGGTATCCAAGTCCAAGTGTTGTTTTTGTGATGTCTGTGGGAGAGAGTTTCCTGACAACTGGAGGGTGAGGAGACACAAGCAGGCGGCTCATGAGAACATCACCCATCCCTGTGTTTGTGGAAGACTGTATAAGTACAAGGGGGATTTGCTGAAGCACCAGAAGAACTGCTCAATATATACTTTGTCTGTGACGTGAAATTCATCACAAATGGAGATGCTTACAGACAATCAAAACTTTAAGCTGCATACTAAGAACTGAAATTGATGATTTTAACATTTTATGATAATTTGAACTGAGATTTTTTATGTATTCCTTGTTTTCTTGATCTCATCACTTCATGATATCAGGATGATGTTAGGATTCTCTGAACTGAAACAAACAATCTTTTGTTCATGGTTCAACTTCATAACAAAAATGATTTATAAAGAATGCTGCCGATTTGGAATTTCTTTTGGGGTTTTCACATAGGATATATTCTGATATTGCAATGATGGCAAATCATCATGATACGCTTTGTAGACAGGAAGTCTACCTGCTTCTGACTCGACGGTGACATTTTGCCCAAGAGAAGTTATCTTTGAAAGGAGTGCTGCCTTGTTCAAAAGAACTCCATGTGTTTGTGTCTAATTGTGTTCAGGTGGTGCGATGGAAGTTTGTTCTGATCGCTACAACTTGGAGGGAATTATCATACAGTTTCTCAAGGTAAAGTTGATGTGTGTGAACTGTGAACAGGGAATAATCGGTCTCAAATATCTGATTAATTATATGTGAAACAGATTCTGTTTTTCCCAAGAGTACTTGTCTCCGGAGAAAGAAGTTGCATTTGTTACAATTTTGAAATTACTGAGATAAAAGGCATGTGAGTCCCCTTTAAACCAGCAAAATAGAACACAGACAAGTCTATAATATTCAATTATATACATATTGAATAAAAGATAAACATGGTTACAATGAATGACAGAGCAGATTTCTAATGCAATATGACTGGGTCACAAATATTAAGAAAAAAATAACTACATGTCTATAGTTACCAAAGTCTTTGTCCTTGTAGATATACTGATCAAAGTTGACAGCTGTTGAAAGTTCAATGTTGTCGAGGCCTCTTCAGTGGTTGGTCTTGAAACGTTGATGTTAGCAGACAGATGAGCGTAAATCCAAAGTCATCCCCCCATACATCTCTGCAACCATCCCTTATATACCTATTATACAGTTCTAGAGAATTCTAGAAAAACTATGCCATTCCACCACTACCTCGAAATTACTGGAATCCTACCATCTTCCACCAGAAGCAAAACAAAGGGAGGTAACTCCTCGGCTTACTCTTAATAGGTGAAATTACACTGCTTAAGTTCAAGATGCGAGTTCAAATCCACATTCAGAGCTTCAAACTTTTGTGACCCACAACAACCAAAAGTTAATTAATGTGACATTATAATTAACAAAAACACACCCTCATAGAACATTGCATTTATCTGCTGAAATAGATTCAGCTGGTGTAAAAATTGGAATGTGTTGAGAGTTATTTGAATTGATCCTGAAAATCATTGATGAAAAGAGTAAGCATATCCAGCTCCAGTGTTAGAACCCTTCACTCACACAATTTAAATTAAAAAAGTAAGTGTTTGCTGCCTAACATTGCACAGTGGGTCTCCTGTCATATGATACCCGTGAAGATCAGGGCTAGAATTGGTCTTCAGTAACCCATGCTTGTCGTAAGAGGTGACTTACGGAATCGGGTGGTCAGGCTCGCTGACTTGGTTGACACATGCCATCGTATCCCATTAGCTTTGATTGATGCTCATGCTGTTGATCACTGGATTGTCTGGTAAAGACTCGATTATTTACAGACCACCGCCATGTAGCTGGAATATTGCTGAGTGTGGCGTTAAACAACCAACCAACCAACTAACCAACATGAAGCTGACAATTATATAACTGGAATACTGTCCAAAGGAGCATTAATACTAACTCACTCACTCACTCACGACACCTACCAGGTTGAGGCTCCAGAGCAAAACAATGTATGTATTACAGTTTCCATACAGTACTTGTCGTCAAGACAAGTTGAAGTTGCCTTCTGGTGGTGGTGGTGGAATTGGGTTTAACGTCGTGCTTGAGAATATTTCGCTCATATGACGACGTGCATGCGTGTGTATGTGTATGTGTATGTGTATGTGCGGCTGCTTGTACTAGCCCAGACTTAAGCTGGTTTTATAGTGCTAGCCCACTGAGATACCATGCCACAGTGAAGCATGAATATCCCACTCAGACACATTATACTGACTCCGAGCCGACCAGTCCTTGTTGTACCCATTAATGCCAAGCGCCAGGCAGGGACCAACAAGTACCATATTTTAACGTCTTTTGGTATGACGCGGTCGGGGATCGAACCCGCGACCTTCCGCTCTCGGGCGGATGCTTCTAACCACTACACAACGGAGGCGGTCAGTTGCCTTCTGAAACATTCAGATCACATTAGACTTTGTAGTACATTGACTTGTTTATTGCTTTTAATTGACTTCTGTGGAAACAGCTGGTGCTTATTTAAATATGATTTAGCTGGCTGATTGATAAACTTTGCAATTTGACAGATCTGCCCATCTGCTAAAAGTGTAAGGCTGTTCCAAAAACATTTAAATTATGTTGTAACCATTCCCTCTGAATTATGTTGCCTTTATCCGGTCGTACCACTGAGACATACAGAAAGGGAAATGAAATTTTAACTAAGTCATAGCTATTCCTAGTGGTATGCCTATGGAGTACGCAGTTATCTCCCTTGGTTGTAACATTACAACATTCAATTTAGATTCTTTTTAGGAATTGATTGAAATAGGTGACATTACTTTATTAATATGATGGTATGACAGTTGTGAGAACAAAGGGCAAGTCTGAATGACGCTGAATCCTGCATTGTGCAAACAAACCATATCTTCTTATGGTCAGAACAATTAACTTAGGTGCCTTTGCATGTGTTTGTGATGCATACCACCAGTGGGTTGGTATTCCTTCTCCTTTTTGTGAACACTTGGTGTCATCACTATTTGATAGTGATTCCATCTTGATACAGTAAAATAAAATTTTCAAGTTTGCATTTAAGAGGGATTTCTAATGAATATTGAAGTGTTTGTGATGTTTTATCTCATTAACTCTCTAACGTTTGTTAAATCAGCTTTGCTGTTCACAGGATAGGTCTGTCTGAAACAAAGGAATCATGCAAAAAAATTGTTTTAGCAATTAGGCGGTTTGCCCCAAACCTGAGACATTTAATTTGAACACAAAAGGGTTGTGTGACCTCGTTTTGGATTTGAAGATATCTGCCTGAAAAAATAGTCTTTCTAATCTAACTTTAAATGAGTGCAATGTCAAATGAATCTTCTATTTACATCTCTTCTTAACAGAAGGACATAATTCTGTTCTTGAAGGAAAAGAATATTTGTTTACAGTGAGTCTATTGTTAATTGCAGGTGCCAGAGGTGAAGATGCTTATGGGACTTTCAACAACCCTTCTCATGTCTTTGGGAGAAACATTTACCCAATACCTAGAGGTTCATTTGCATCCAAACCAGCAAACCCTACTGCCAGTTTGAGACAATCGGGTTCGGAACTTCCATTCGTTAGATTTGTGTGCGACATTGCCGACAACATGCTGCAGCAAGGTTCCTACAGTTGCAGCGACTGCGGGAAGA